GCCCTGGTGGCCCATATCGCCCAGCACTGCCAGAACGAGGCGGTCCAAAATTCTCGCGGGCTGTGTGAATTCCCATGGACACGGGGTGTGCTGCTGTTTTGGGGTCCTGAGCATGGTGGTTTGGCGTCTACATGATCTACAAAGACCTATGTCAGTACTCATCAGTCATCAATTGCCCAAAAACATATCAAAGCAATTTGCACGGAACTGTAACATCCCGCCTTGATCCAACACCTTCTCCTTTCTTGTTCCAACAGCTTATGCAACAGACTTGGTCCACAGAAGTATCAGCCACCTGCACGCGAACTTGGTGAACCCAACCCACAAAATCTGCAATTGGTTCGGCATTTCAATCCGGAGACGAAACCAGACATGCTTCATCATGCAATATTTGATCCATGAACGACAGAAAGTTTGGCATTATTTGGAGCCGCGCCCGCTAGGCTCCTGGCACATTGATGCTCTTCTGCTTGTTGGCATCTTGTTGAGTTATGCCCGTGAGGTTTTTGCCCAGGGGAGGGGGAAATGGCTGCGCAAGAATGATGCTGCATGGCTAACCAAGAAGAGTTTACTTACGATTTAGGCAAAAAGGCAGCGTCCAGCTTGCATTTACAGGATACTTCAAGAAATGCAAGTACAAGCTCTTGGTCAATTCATTTGATCTTTGTCTCTTGTCAGCTTCCATGTTGAACCTGAATTTGAAGAATTCTACTCTCCAATTCCAAGAAGTTCTGGGGATATCTCTGTCTGTCTCTCTCTCTCTCTCTTTTTATCTCTTTGTCGACGCTCTCCTCATAAAGAAGCTTGTTTTGACGATCAAACAGTGGCAACAGTGTTAGTGGATGTTAGTGGACATGGGTGGACCATGGTCCACTCTTGTCTTCTCCCCCTAAAAGATGAACTGATTGCGGCCTGCTGGGGGTGACCCAAGTTCCGCCGACGTTCGATCAACAAGCTGTCGTGAACTCGCGGTACTTCCAATTGGTTGGTTTTAACACGATGGATACGAAGGGTGACACTGTCACGCGACGGCTTCCCCGATTTGTTTCGTCTCACATCGCGGAATTGTGTGGAAACAAGGAGAGCATCCTTGAAGCTTGTGGGGCAGCACCGGCTGTGCGTGAGACCCTTTGCAGGAGATGTCCACGGTTTCGGTGCCTAGTAGAATATAATTCTGTCAGTGGACCGCCTGGCTGGGTGAAAAACTGTTTTCACAAACTCCTTGGCAACTGGCGGGGTGTGGAGTGGACCATGCATCCTCAAAATGGCATTCTTTTGTCCGAGGACGAGACGCCAAAACACGTCTTGTTGCTATGATCATCCTACTGAATCCTTCTAGAATCTGCAGCACCTGCAGAGCACTGCACCCAACCCAACCCAACCCAACCAGCAACAATCGCATGGATTCATACTTGTAGGTCTTCGGACCACTGGATGTGTGGGAGTTCACCCATCAACATGGCGAACTAGGTGAGCGATGTCGTCAAATGTAGACAAGGCTGTGAGATGCTGAGTCAAAACCTGGAGTCCCAACCCCCCCTGGTAGTCTATTTGGTTCATTTTTGGAGGTTTTTGCCAGGGTATCTCTGTGCCACAGCCAAAAAGTCTTTGCTTCATCCTGCTGTCTCATTGGCGGCTCCCACGCGATAATTGGATCTCTGAGCGAAGGAGTATCGAGTCTTCGAGCGCCTTGATCTTTGCATTGGCTGCTTCCTCAGTCGATCATCGCGTGCAGAAGCAGAGGGATTTTTGCAAATTCAAGCAATTTCGAGGCCTGCAGGGGCCCCGAGGGGGTGGCCACAGATGCCAAATCAGCAGTGGGCCGGACCAAATTTGTCCTTACTGAGCTCAATCTGAGTTCTGCACAGTGAAACGTGGGGCTCGCCACCGTGGGATGACCAGTGAGGTCGCTATGATGACCAGTGAGTCCGAGATCCCCGAAGAGTCCAGCTGGGGTCGCCCAGCTCGGGTGCCTATTTGTTCCCATGGCCATGGAAAGGCGTCGGGTGACCAGGATCAAAACGTGAACAAATCATGAAGCATCATAAGCAGACAAATTCAGCAGATAACATCTCAGACAAGTCCTCAATCATTCAGCAAGACCTCATGCTAAACCGCCTGCGAAAATACCGCAGTTTGAGCCATTTTGAGCCTCGATAAGTCGATAAGCCATTGAAGGCTGGTAACTGGGAGATATCTGTATACTACTAAATCGCCCAGTTCTTATCCCCGACCCACCAACCCACCAACCCACTGACCTTCCATCACTTCGCAGCCGCGCTCCGCGGCTTCAAGCTGCTGGCGCCTCTCAGGTGCATTGCTACTGCGGCTGCTCGAGCGTGGCCAGGAGGTCTTTCTGGCGCCCTTGGCCTTGCAGAGCAACCGCCAGGGACACCCAGAAGTGTGGAGAACGGCTGGTACTCGTAGAGGTATGGGGGATTATGGGGGGATGGATGAAGTGAAAGAAATGGCTGAACTTCTGTGATGTGTTGATGATTGATGATTCCTTCATGATTTGGAGTACATGCCAACAGCTTTTTGCTGGCCAGACGTGTCCAATTGCTTCTTCAGTTTGGACCGTCCTTCACACGAAGAGCCAGTTTGGCTTCGAGAAAACCACACCGGAGATGAACTCCGACCCGGGTCGGCTCCGACCCGTTCCCAACCGCGTCGCGGTCGCGAGGGGTCGCCCGCGGCTTGGCGGAAGCCAAGCCCAATGGATCGAAGGGCACTGCATTGCTGGCATTCTACAGGCGGAAGTTGGGGGTTTGGGATGGGCATCCGGGATGTTGTTTCTTTTCTTCCAGAAGGTTTTTGTGATGTAACGTCTATGTAGTCGTATTATGTCGTATTCATGTTTCTTCTTTTCTGGAGTAGCTTGAGGCAAAGCGATTAACTGGAGAACCTCATCCAGGAGTCGAGCAATAGCCCTAGGAAGGAAACGGAGTATCACAAAATGGCATAGATTTCATGAACTGTGACCATTCTTGCCACGAGCAAAACCCTAATTAGTTGACTGAATAGTCTACTGCAGCCCCGACGACAAAAGATCCCCTGACAGAGACTTACTGGTACCATATTGACCAACACAAGGCTTTCCGAAGCAGCTTCCCTTGGTTTCAAGGGCAGATCCCTAGTCACGTCGTAGACGAAGAATCATAGAAACATCATGAAACATCATGCAATGCACAGAGACGTTAAAAAAATGGGAAACACATCACTTGCACGTGCACGGCTATATAATCAGCACTTGAATCAGCCGCATGTGTTCACCAAGAGATCTCTCATGTGTCCACCGTAGAAACTCAAGAAATTTTCGCTCAGGATGTGCGCTCTACATCCCGCGCTTTTCAATGCTTGCCTCTCCTCGCACAGTGACCTCACAGAGCACGCCGAGTCCATCGCACCTTGGCCGATGTGAAGTGAGGACCATGCAGGACACCTCCAGGGCAGGACACCTCCGGTTCGGGAACCGGTTTCGGTTCGTTTCGGGAACTCGGCTTCCATGCGCGGGCACCGGTGGCTCGGACCCATTTCGATGCGTCCAGGGGTTTTGTTTGCCTGACAACTTATTTGTTTTTCTTCGGCCAAGCCTGCCCTGCCTACTGAATAACCACCCATGATTGATCGTGGGCAAACCCTAATGTTGCCCCTAAACAGATCTTTCACCCCAAGCTACCTAATGAGATGAAAGGGAGTTTGTCTTGTGGAGAGGTTGCTGGAATTGAGATGAAAGGGGAATTAGAAGAATGTCCCCCTTGCAAATTTCTCTAGAAACTAATGATACCCGGGTATCAAGATCTTTATTTGTTTTTTTAGTTTTTTTGAGACAACTTGGTTCTCTATAGAATCGCGATACTTGGTTATCCCGGTTCAATAGAGAATCGCTTCGCTGCTATACAGGATGTGATATCAATAGGGGGGGTTGAGGTTCTAGAGAGAAATGTCTTTCACTGTAACTTGTCCCGGCAAGAGACCCCAAACAGTGTTTTGAGGTCTAGAGTCTAGAGGTCTAAGGTCTAGAGGTGTTGAAGCAGGTCTAGAGATCTAGATGTAGTGGCCTCCAGACCTCTAGAACACATAGTATTATCTCGTTTTGCACACTATTATTCCATGCACAGGAGTTTTCTACATGTAGCCTACATATGCCTACAAATAATCTTTTAAACAACTAATTTGTTTATTAAACCATATTAACGCCACTGATTGCTAACGGTAATGTAGGTATATGTTGTAGTGATGGATGTGTATATATAGAAAGATCTAAAGGCTTTTGTTGGGGATGGTTTGGGAAGGAAAGACGCTGCAGGAAACCCTAACCAAACAAGGAAACTGAGCAGACCTTGCCACCCTGGCTCGAAACACAGTTGTCACCTGGTTAGGGTTAAAGACCAGAGGCTTGCAGCTCCAGAGTTTTTTGTTTTGTCTTTTAGCATCAACTAATCATGGACACTGTAAACAGGATCATAACCGCCTTTTAATCACAGATAGAAGTATTCCGTCCACGCGTGGAATTTGTTTGTTTTTTCTCAAACGAAAGATGGGGACGGACTCCCTCATCTCATCTCACCTCAGCTGTCGAGGCTGTGGGCCTCAGCCGGCATTTGGCCACCGGCGAACCATTCTTGGTGGCCGCAGCGGCTGGTTTGGTGGAAGACTTTGGCGTCGCCTTCGCAGGTGTCGATGGGATGGTGTGGGGGGGGCAAAGGAGGCGTTGGATGTGTGGTGCTGGGGTTCTGTGAAGGCAAGTTGTGGTGAGTTGATGTGAAACACATCTAGATCGGACATCCACAACGTCACAACATCTTCATCATCCCACAATCCCATTGACCACATGGATTCTTTTCCGTTGTTACACCCCGAATTTTATCCACCAACGGCCCAGCTCTTGCCTTTCAGGTGAGGACACGAAGGTGGAGGGTTGGCTTCGCAAGGCCCAGCTGTCGCAGTGGCTCATCGAAGCGCTCAGCGCCTCGTCGAGTCCGCGCCGGGTCCGCGCGGCCTGGTGCCGTGACTGAGTACGGCTGCTTGGAGTACGTCGTGTTTGGAGCCAGATACAAGATACGTCGTGTTTGAAGTACTTCACGTGTGAACCCGAAGTCTATGTTTTGTGGGTATGACCAGATGTACAAGGCCCCAACAGAAGTTGGTTTCTTCCCACGACCGTCGTTCGTGGGAACGTCACCACTGCTTTCTCCCACATCTGCAAGATGTTGGTCGTTTCTCAGATGGAACCCTACGCTGCCAGTCATTTTGCTGGGGTGATCGACGAACCTGACGTTCATTCCAGGCAGCAAGAGAGCGCTTCCAACATTGTTTCCGGCACGAGACACCGATTTATGAGCTACGTACATATAAAGCAAATTGACAACAACCACTGCCTTTGAGACAAGAATGTGCACTGATATAGAGATAGAGAAACCCCAAACAATAAGTATCTCGTGAACACTCTTCAGTACACTGTTTTGTTCACGATTAAGCCTATCACGGACGAAAACCATACACGCCTATTGATGCATATTACATATACTATATACGATTCACTGACTTATCCTGACTTATTTGGTCTTTTCTTTGAGAGTCTATAGATTTGTATGCTATAGATTTTCATTTGACCTGGAGGCTGCACAGGGTGGTTTGCGCACCGAGGCCGCACCGGCGACGTGGCGGCCCAGTCGGCGGTGTGCGCGGCGCTGCGGAGCCTTGGCGAAGACCCCAAGCTGCGGCCGCTCTTCCCGGCCGCCGCGGATGCGCTGATGGACCCGGGGGTGGATAGGAGATGGTATATAACCCAAGTTGGTTGATCCATGGATTCTTCCTTAGGTCATCTATAATAGGCAGATCGAAATTACTTGAACTGATCTTAAAGAACAAGAAGTGAAGAAGTGATCGTGAAGTGGAAAATCCAGCTGCTCGTCCTCCAGCTCTCTTCCAGGAGGCCTGCAGCTCCTCCTGGCTCTTGGCCGCCACGGAGCTCGAGCGCCGGCAGCTGCTGCGCCAGGCCGCCGAGGCCCTGGAGCCCCTGGTGGCTGAGGGGCTCGACGCAGGCTGAGCGGCTCGCGCCACAGCGGCGTGGGACTGGTTGGGGAGGAAAACTGATTGATTCCTTAGACACTGCTTATGAACTTGTGGACGGAACCTACGACTTTCATGTTTGTTTTTGGAGTCACTGACCGCGGATGATTTCAGATTTGTTTTGCTCTATTGCTTTGGCTGGAGTGAGTGAGGATGTGTGGGACGCGGCTGGATTCCCGGCTGGATGCAGTCGAGTCAACAGCAGGAGCCGGTTGAACAATGTCGGGCACGGTGTCTCAATGTCCCAGTCATGACTTGCCGCACCCACCATGACTTGCTGTCTCAGTCATGCCATATAATCACGAGTATCGCAAACCTCGCCTGCAAGGGAACTTGCATTGAGATAAATACGCTCGGCAAGTTGATGTTATTTGGCATGTGAAACATAATGAGCTTGACTGCTCATGACTGTCTGGTATTTTTCGTTTGCTTCCGATGTCGGAAGGTGTGTTCGCACCCAGAATGCTGATCCCACTGCTGCATGCGGCGCGAGACCTTTCCAAGGAAGGCTGGAAGGGTAGAGTTGCTATTGAATTGCGTCATTATATAGATGGTGTTGAAGCAGAACGGTTGAAGTTGTTGGACACGTTGAATTCCAGTGGGACGCTCAAGGCTGCAGTGGAAAGTGAGCCTCCTCAATGAACCCCATACTATCCACATTGTTAAAAGATGTTACTGTATACATAAACGTATCCAGCACTCGTAGATGCAATCTTCATGTCGTGCATTGGACTTTCAATTTGCATGAATGTTTTATTTTGTATTACGGTTCAATTTGTAGGTGCTTAGAAAGGATGTCGACCTTGTTGCAGCGCTTGCAGGTACTCTGTCTTTGGATGATTGCTTGGAACCAGATCTTTGGCAATTTTGGCAGGTGGTCTTGCAGATTTTGCAGGTCGTTGGACCATGTTCGGCCTGCTAGTGATATCTCCACGGCACAGACATACATCCCAACACGTGGTTTTAGTCCCACCTTTGCGGTTGCTGGGCTACCCAGCACTACCAGCATCACCAGCACATGTGGGTGCTAGACCGTTCCTACCAGCAGCACCAGGCGTGTCACTCGCTGGCTTCCGAGGCGTGTCTTTGCTTGCAGCGTCCCATGGACATCCAACAGCTTCCGGAGCATTTTCTCCAGCTCTTCGATGCAGCGGTGGACCTCACCACGCAACAGGACGAGTCCTTGACGAGTTCTCCGGACGTCGTTCGTTGGAGTCGAAACGAGCACCGGTCGACGAGTCACATTTCGTGTCTGGTCGAGGAGGTGCCGCATTTCCTCACTGCCGCATGGTAGAGGGTAGAGGAGTTCATCATTCTCTTGAGCAAATTTTGGCCCAGAACAGGAGGCTTGCTTGGACTTGGAATTCTCCTCACACCACCAGTTGGAGGATAAGTTATGCTGACTTTAAGGGAAAAGTCATAACTTGCCAATTCCATCAATGGAGAACACTACACATCGAGGGACCTAGGGGTGCTCTCCAGCCAGACTGATGCCATCCTTTGCGCATCCAGCGATGCCGGGGAATTCGGTAGGATACCCACAAAACATGTGAGGATAAGTCAGTTTCAACCTCCAAGAGAGGACAGGAGAGCTTCCAAGGTCATTATCAACTATGATATAAAGTAGAAATAAGTCGAAGATGAGCTTCAGAAGGGAGATACGATTCTACATTGATCTAAGTATTGATCTAAGTGTTGGATTCTATCTTGTATACGTGATTTCTAGACACAAATTTGTTACATGACAATCCCTGCAGATGCCACGTGACAGGACTTCAGACGACATGCCTTCATCTCCGAGATGCTTGGCCAGCTCTTTGCGACTTGGCTCCACCCGCTGGAGAGGTGAAACGACAGCCGAGCCCTGAGGCCCTGGGTTGGGTGAATAATGATATATATATATATACATGTATCACTTGTATCACTTGTACGTGCAATATATGTATGTGATTGGATATTTTTTTATACAGTATATGACTATATAAGTTATACATGTTTTTTTTTCATATATACATATACCCTGGGAGTCCCAGACCATATTTAAAACGGTCTTTAGATGATCCGAAAAGGAACTTCCTTTACTTGGGTGGTGCCTAAAATAGTCTTTGGACGTCTAGGGTATATATATATGATCATAAATTTGATATGTTCTTGTACTACTATTACTATCAATATAATATATATATATATAATATATATATATATACTCATGCTAAATCAGAGACAGTGGGCAAAGGTCACCCACCATGGGGGGTCTCAGAGGAAGAGCACTTCCAAGGTTGAAAAGATGAGACCTTCGGTCGAAATGCGTTTGCGATGATCGAGTTTGGTGCCCTCGACCTAAGGAAATGCATCCACAAAACAGAATCTCGTCACGGCCTAAACGTTATACCTAAACAACATATGCATATAATGGTCAACTTAGTGCACACAACTTCCAAAGGACACTCCTAGAGTTGTACTTTGCCAATTCTGCAGTCAAAAGAAGCTTCCTTCTTTTGATTCCTACCAATTCCACCACTTCCGTCGAGTTTGAAGACAAAAACATCTCCAGCCACCAGGTGATGCTTGCCCAGGCCACATGGGCGGCTCGCTGTGTCCGGGGCCAAGCGCTGGCAGTCCGTGTGGGTTTTTGCGTTTGTCCACGTTGCACCTTACGAGGAGGTAACTTTGTATGCAGAGATGACGAGTTTCAGGGGTGGTAGCGTTTCAACAGTTCTTATGCCGGAGGCTGATCAGTCTCAGAACAGAATCAACTTGTTGATACTGTGTCTGTGTACCAAGGAGCCACATATCGACTTGGGTATCCCATGAAGCCCTTGGGTACCAACCTCGGATACCCAGCCATCCAAGTGTGTCAGAACGCTTACTGTAATCCCTTTTTCTTGATACTTTGATAGGATTGCAGCCCTGATTCTCCAACCAGTGTGGCATTTCTGGGATGTCACTGGTTAAACTGACGGATTTCTTGTTGAGGTGGACACAAACCCTGAGTTTCACCCATATTCTTTAGCAGGGAATCCAAATAGCACCATATGACGCCTTGGGCTTCATGTTGTTGACTGGATGTAACTCCCATGAGGGCACACAGTCCTGGCAGCCAAGGACAGCGTGTCTCCACGCACGACCGGTCGTGGAAAAGTCAACCACTTCAGCAAACAACCATGGCGAGGTAGAGATATAGTTGAATTAAAGGACGAGGTAGTCAGTTTAGATCGTGCAGCTGGCGAAAGCCAGCTGGTTGGTGTCAGAGGTACCCATAGGTACTCTCTCCAGCTAGTACTTCGTACAGGGTCCTGAGTCCTGAGCCTGAGCCATGATTGTTTTAAGGTGGACTAGACAAAACCAGTCCTGTGGCAAACACCGTAGTGTGCTATGCATCCCAAGAAACATCCGGAAACAGAACAATCGATTGGTCCCACCAGACCAATATGCCCTGTCTTTTCGTTCACCTGAGCGCCCTGAGGCCACCGCCGTTGGAGGAACCTTCCTGCAAAGGCTGCGGTGGGGGAGATCCGACCACTGAAGAGGAGTGATTTGTACATTCCCAACTTTATCATCTCCATACAGAGCCATCTCTCGTCTAAAGGATGTAGAAATTCTTGAGCTTTTAGAACTTGGATGAGCTTAGAACCTACACTCCACATGTTCCTTCTTGTTGGATGGCAGTCGGTACGTCATCCCCCCAAAAAACTAACTGTTCACGCCTCAAAACGTTCGAGAAACAATAGGCCTCATCCAAGGACGGATGGAGTTACAAAAACAAAAAAAATACAAAACATCACATCCGCCGGACGGGGGAGTTCGGTGAAACGAGCCCTGCTTCGCCTTCGCCGGCCGGTACGAGGCACGACGGCTTGGGAGATGTGACGTTGCTGCTCCGCTTCGCCCAGAAGCTGGGCGACTTGGACGGCACCGCTGTGGGGTCGACCGGTGATTGGTCGGGACATGGCGCATGGACCAAAGGAGCATCCTTTTGCAATCTACAGTGGTTGGCGGTGTTTTTGATCGTTCGTGTGTGTCTTCAACAATGAGAGAACCTCGTACGACTCGTACCTGTTGTACAACTCCAACTGTACACCCCCTGGCTGGAATCAGTTTTGAACAAGACATTTTGGCCAAAAGAAGATGTCCCCTTTCGGACGTGAACGCGTTCGGCTTTTTTTTTTTGCGAACGTTTCGTGGCACTGCTTGACATACCGCACCAGAAATGGTTGTATTATGTATTTGGGGTTTAGAGTGATGTCTCGCACCCTTTGGCCATTGCGTCTTCGCACCGGGTGAATGTCTCGCAGCCGGGCCCGAACCAGGCACTGGTTCGGCTGGGCACTTGCTGGCACGAGACCTGTGGGCTGCGCTCAGCGCCATGCTATGGCCCATGTGGCTTGGCAAGAGGGTAACTCGAAGTCAAAGTGTAATATGAGTCATACAGCTATTAGGGGTTGGCTCCCAGTCCTAAGCGACTTGGTATGCCCAGACGGCTGTAGTGATTCAGAGGATTGGTTTTATTCATGATCCAACCATCCACTGATGGCTGAGGGACCAATTTTTGAAGGTAACCCTCTCATTGCACCCTCAGTTTATGTCAAGCAGGCTGGACGTATGCAAAGTCGTGTGTTGCGTAAGGGTGCGTAGGCAGTATAGGCAGAGTGTGAGGTAGCCGCGGAAGCATTGCAGAAACCGAGCTTCAAGAGTGGGTACCCTAAAGCCTCAAGGGATGGATTCACAATGATTCATATAAATATACATAATATACATATATTTATGTTTTGTTATATTATGTATATACACACACCCTATAATGACCCACCGATCACAGTCAACATGTTGAAAACACTGCACTTGCACCTGTCAAGTTCCTTGGAACTTACATCTCAGGCTCCAGCTGGATGGAATGGCCACTCAGGAGGAGGTGGGGACGGTGGAGGTGGAGAAGGAGAGTGTCCTCCAGCAAAGGGGGTAAAATGGGAGAAACACAGTTTAAACAAAAAAGCATTACCGTTAATGATGAGCGTCATGATCACGGTTCATTCAGTGAGTGCCATGACCCCAGCTCAACTGCATTAACGAGCTACGCATGTCCTGATCTATCAGGAAGATTTCCGCAGAAACAGTCCAAGACGGTCCACAAACCCTTACCCACCGGGGGGGGGGCAAGTTTGTTGCTGCATTCTCTCGTCCCTACGTCGGGAAAATGGACCGGTGGACGCTTGGCACGAAGACCGTTTTTGCCATCGCTATCAAGCACCAAATCAGGAACGGCCGACCCACCGCGTGATGAACCACCTTTTTCTGTGCGGGCGAAAATGCTTTGGGGGTGGTCTTCTCACCTCTGTTCTGTCGCGCTGTACGCTCTATGCATCGCGCAGGTGAGCAGCTTCAAGGAGTGTTGTCTGCAACTGGGCCATTTGGTACCGCAGCTGTTCGCTCCTTGGGCCAAGACTCGATCCGGTCGGCAGGGTCCGAAGACGTCATGGTGGGGTCAGGGATCTATGACCAACTGGTGGGGGAGACGGGCAGAGGATTCTCGCAAGCTGTCCACCCAGTGTGATTGTACAGACCCTTGTTCGGAATTAAATTTAACACATATCAGTACGCCTTATCCTGCTGGTTCAATAAGGGGGGGCTTGGTCCACGTTCACTCAAGTTCTCTTGGTGGCGCAGACATCATTATACAGTTGAAGAACAGTATCGTCGGTGTCACTTGTCATCGCCAATTCATTGCCATCCACTTGTTTCGTCACGTGGTTTCAATTTGAACATTTCATGAGGTGTCCAATATATAGACCCGGGGAGTCGGTGGTCCAATAAATGGTCATGTCTGAGGGGTCATTGTTTTCAGCAACCTTGTCACCACAAGTTAGATGTACAGCAACTTGTCCTGGTAGGTTGGGCCTGTAGAATGAAATCTGAAGCTTATATCACGAATACGGAAACATCAGGGTCTTCCAACTCAGCGTTTCCAATGGAGTTGGTTGCTGATTCGCAAAAAACATCCAGTCCAGCAGCACGAAGAGAAACGCTGCATGATATCCGAGATGCTTGGACCAAAGCCTTGCCTGGCGGTGGATGTGAGTTTGCATCGAATCATTGACATCCCAGGAGACACAGCTTTCTGAAGCTGAACTGCAAGGACATCCTGGTAAATATCTCCGTTTCGGAAGAATCTGCAGATTGCTGTTGTTTTTGTGCTGACTCATGCTTGATCATAGACTTAGGATCAAATTCCCAATGCATTGACCAGTCTTTATTTTGTTGAGTGTGTCTTGAGATGTGAGATGGAGCGATGTATGATTATTACGTAGCATATCATGAATCATCGTTCCGAGCTCTGGTCACAGATAAGTGACGTGGAGGGAAGGAGATGTGCTGTGGCGTTCAAAGTGCAATTGGAACACGTGTCATATTATGAGCCTCCGACAAAACTTCCGCACATGATGTAGTCATGGGCCCCCCTTAAGTATTTCTGAATTGGTCAAAACTCCTTGCAAAACCGTTAGGGGCCAACCCTTTTGCCCTTTCTTGATTGAAAGTAGCTTATTGCCTGCATTCCAAAACACTGGAAACCGATAGGGGGGCCAACCCAAAATACTTTGGCATTGGGGAAACGAAGAAGTCTTGTCCGCGGCTCATATGGAAATCTCAGAGAGTGAGAGAGAGAAAGAGGGACGGGAGGGAGGGGCGTAATCAATCCCAATCCTCCCAATGTCCATTAAGGAAATTCTACCTCACGCACTTTTAAGTTAGATTGTTGGTGAAGACAGCGCGTGCGTTTTTCTACACGTTTTTTTTCTGTGCCCAGCAGGCCCGGAGGTGGTCTTGGATGAGGACCCTTCGGCCGGTGGGGAGCCCAAGAGTCCTGGGTGTGAGCGGCGTAAACAGCAACATCGCACAGAGATTGGCATGGGAGAGCAATGAGAGAAAACCAACGAAACACAACATCGAAATGAGCAAGAATCCACCCCCCTGCAGGTGCTGGTACCAGCCACAAAGCCAACATAAGCCAACCATGCATCATCAGGATTGGAGAATGAGGTGTAGATCCTCACATGCAGTTGCACCAGCGGGCATTTGTCCCAAGCAAACAAGTCTGCACCGAAAGGGGACATTCAAAAATTCCCTACGCTGCTCTTGACATGACGTCTGACATCCCTAAGGGACGATGCACATCACCCGGTCCTCTCATCTGCAGGGGGTCTGCAAAAGGGGTCCGCCTTCAGGGGTCCGCGGAACCCGCGGGGTGACGCCTGTCCGGGTTTCGTGCATATTGAACGATCGTGCGTATTTAGGGATGTGACTCATAGCCACGGTTCGACTCATACCAGCCCCCCCCCTCTCTATGTGTTGTGTGCTCCAACTACTTCGAAGCAACCAAGTTTATGGCGCAGCATGTCATGATTCAAACATCACAACTACTGTACCATATGTCATTGTGCGGTGCCTTTACTGGAATTTGAACTAGGAAGCACACATCAGCGTGACATCTGAGGTTTTGTTGTCACTCCGAGATGTGCACCATTCACTGTTTGCTGTAGCCATACTCTACCCATTGCTGATGCCCAGACCTCTCCAAAGTTTCTCAACGTTCTTTCAGCTCAAACCACCTCAGGTCAGCTCTTGTCAGTGCTTTTGGTTCCATTCCTGACCGTTGATGCCAACTCCTTGTCCCTTCTGGAGTCTCAGCTGCATTTCTTCAAGCCATCACGGGTGCTGGATTGGTTGCGTGATGATTGGCATTGGCGTAGTCACCCCGGTAGCGAACGATGGCTGAAAACAACATGTTGTTCATCTCAGAATCCAGGGGGGTTGGCCTGACTTACTACCTGAACGACACGTGCTAGCAAGCCCAGAGCTTGAACACGCTTGCACCAATTGATACACCCAGGCAAGTGATAACAACTCTCCACCCAGCCACCTGGTGGAATTCGCTTGTCCGGTGACTGATGGTGACGGCTGTTGTTTGGAGTTTCTGCAAGAGCCAAGTAATTCTATAACCAATCATCAAGTGCAAGTTCATAACGTGACCCAGCTTACATGGATTTAGACCACCAAAAACCGTTTTGCAGCACCGCAAACATCTTCAGGTTCCAAGCCACGAGCTTTTCATGTCCTGCTCTTCCCTCCTGGACACCACCGACGGCGCATGGCTCCCTCGCGCCGCCGCGCTGGCGGCCGCGGGCGCCGCGGACGACACCGTGCCGGTGGCGGCGGCCCGTGGAGCCATGCAGATGGAAGAGGCAGCGCTACGGAAGCTGGCCGAAGGCCAGGGCCAGGAGTGAGGGCAAAAAGATAGACATCGGTGACCTGGATGGATCTTGGTGACTACTAGTAGGAAGGAGATGTTGAGATTTAGGACATACTTGAGACATACGACGAGACTCTAGACGAAATGAATCATGCATGTAAAGAGCACTTCTTGCCTGACCTCTGCCTGGAGGTTTATTGGATGATGTGAGGATTTGGGTTGTTCCTAGGATCAATCTACACACACTACCAATTGAGAGCGATCGACCCCCTTGCAGAGCAGGGTGTCAGGGCATGTAAAGAAAGGTTGAGAGACTGATAGTCTGATAGTACTTGCGAAATGCTGTAGTTGTCCTACTATTTGACGACTGTCAGGTGCTGATGAGTCTTGGAATATTTCTTTGGGATAGGGTTTGGAGCCATAGATAAGCAGGAGGAGATAAGTAAAAGATTATACAAATCAGTTTAGCATGCGAAAAGGCACCTGCTCTCAAATAATGCATCGCACCAACTGATTTTCTTCACACTTTTTCAACACACTCTGCCCTGATTCAGGCGAGCTCCCGACTTTACCTCTCAGATCCGTGGTCTTTCTCACTTGCGCAGCCACCTGTCCTGCATGCGGGAAGAGCTGTTTTGAGTCAAGACTTGAAGCAGTGCTGGTCTCCCTAGCAGAAAAGACATGGGGTGAGGATCCAAACACTCACACTGCAACCACAATCAGGGGGAACAAGCAAGTTCAGTAACAACACACAACAGATACAAACCTGGAAAAACCATGAAAAACCATTGAGCGGAACCAAAAAATCCAATGCCAGGTCACCAACGCCACTCAGGTCGCGCGCGCCGCCGCGCGAGCGGTGTCGGTGGCGACTTCGGCGCCCAGCGACGCGGTGGAGTGGCTGGCGCTGGTGGAGCTGGGCGCGGCGCGGCTGCGGCGGGCGGCGGCCAAAAGTATGGCGGAGGGCGGGGCGCTGGAGGCGGAAGTGGAAATCGGGGAAAGGGCTTTTCACTGGAGGTGGGTTTGAAATAAATTTGACATGTGTAGAAGATCTTTCAAACCAGACTGTACCATGACCACCTGGCGGTTCAGCCAGAAAGTGTATCAGGCAAACATTCGAGTCTCCCCCTGCATATCCCCACATTGAATTGACATGTCCAACATTCTGCGCGCCTGTCTTTTTTTTCATTTGATGCGCACGCCTGTCCGGCTTGACCGCCTGTCCATCCGCAGACGAGGAGTGGCGGCTGCTGAAGTGTTCCTCGATTCCCAACGGGCACAAAGAGTTGACCACGGCACTGGGATGGCTCTTAGCCTCGGCTGACGAGGAAGGCACCGAGCCGATCGAGGCAGACGAGACCAAGGAGAAGCTTCTTTCCCCAGCTGGGGAAAGATCAAAGATTGAACAGCAAAAGGGACGCTTACCTTGGCCCGGGATATTCTTTGTGGAGTATTTGACTTTCACAACATGTTGCAAAGATCCAGAGTTTTGCAGAAAACATGACATGTGGAAGGTGCTGACACTGTGGATGACGAATGATGACGTATAGTTTGAGGCCGATGAATTGAACTACGGAAGATTACGGAAGCAAAGGATGCTACAAAACAATACTAGTCCAGTGGCCTTTCCATCACGCTTGCAGGAGGCAGAGGATATCCTTCTGGGAGCAGCGATTCTAGAGTCGGCACAGAAGGACAGGAACACTTGAATAATGCCATGATGTGTCGATAATGACATATATATAATATATACAATAACATAACTAATTCAGTTATTAGTTTTTTGCGTTTGTAAATAATGTATATGTATATGTATAGTATTCTACTATGTAATACATGCTACTTACTTAGGTTCCTAAGAGGAATCTTTGTGAGCTTCTCCGCCGCATGTATCATTACCCTATGTTTTGACTGCCAGCCATCCAAGAACAGTCCCCGGGTTTTCCCGTAAAACAAGTAAACCGGTGTAATGTTTGACCCTGGGTGTCGGACAAGGCTGCTCCCATGACCATGCTTGACCCAAGAAGTCAAAGAAAAACAAATATTGCCCAGTCAGTGGATAACCTTTAACAAGAAGAGGTATTTAAAGGTTAACCTTTCTTTTCCAGGGAAACGGAGGCAAAAACGGATCCCCATGACCTCCCAATGGACCTCTCAGACAGCGAGAATGCCCAGGGCGATGTCGGCGTGGAGAAAGGCCAGGGCGTCTTTGTGGCCCATCCAGGTGGGACCGGTCCATCCGCAGGAAAGAAGCGGGCACCTCTTCACAGAAGTTGCGTTCGTTCTTTATTTCTGTTCTATTGCGGAGGGAGGAGGGGCCGTATGCTAGGAAGCATGCACCCTGCCGGTGAGTGGCTTCATGATTGGGCTCTCAGATTGGTTGGGAAGCGGGTTTCGCGAGCGAGCCTGAGATAGATGTTTCATGATGCTCCCAACCCCAGAAGGTATTGATATGTATTGATTAAGATTGGGGCCTCCCTTGACTTTTGTGCCACTTAAATAGGGGCACTGAGTGTTCAAACAGGATGTGACCCTCTGAATTCACAGAATCGACGATCACCCAAAAAAGGAAAGGAATCAGCTGTAGCTCACACCGCACACCCCTCTTGAGATCATAGCTTGTGGAGGTCCAACCAACTTCCATCCCCTATGTGATGCACAAAACGTGGGTGTGTATATATAGAATTGAATAACATTAGGAATGGTTTGTAGCAGGTGTATATATGGCTTCTGCCAAACGTGTGTTCTAATTTGGATGTGTATCAAAAAGGGGGGAGACCTCCCAGTTCGACCAATTTAGCCCTATTCAAAAACACACCGGTGTCAGACGTCACCTGCGCGTCTCAGACGTCATGGGTGTCGCCAGGTGAGTGGTGCTGGTTGCGCGACTGCCTGCCCTCACCACGCTGGATGTCCTCGCGAGTGGAGGCGCGTCGAGGGGTCGTGTGCGACGCGACGGGTCCCTTCGTTGCGGCCGACGCGGCGTTGGTTGCAGAAGGGATTTCTCTAATATGGTTCGACAATAGTATATATATAATCTATTGTTTTTGCATATGCATATATTGTAATACTAAATCTATCGATGTTTACGTATATACTCGGTTTCACAGTTGAAAGACGCAAACATGTGGTGAAGAGGACCTGCAGGTGGCTCTCAGGTTTGCACTCAGCTGTTCGCCCTCCCACTTCATCAAACAACATTGTTTCCTGAAAGCTTTGCAGAAAGAGTGACTGTGCTTGTCGCTAGGTGTTGTTTTGGGACTGTGTGACCAATCCCACCCACCAGCAGCACAACCAGAAGCACTCATTTCAAAACCGACAGGTGCTTTTAGGGCATGCGCTGCAGGCGAGAGCAAGCAGATAGGGTGTTACTTGTGGGCCTGGAGAATCAAGTCTGTGGAGGCTTTGACTGTCTTCTTTAGACAGTCAAGTCTGTCGGTGCACAGGGAGATGCTGAGGGTATGCAGGGTTTGGTTTTGGGGGGGAGGCACAAGGAGGCGCAGACTTGGATTCCGTTGGGGTCATGGAAGGTCGCCAGGGTGTGACTTGTGAAGGCGTTCGGTGTGCCCACCTTGGGCTGTGCAGGCCATCATGTAGACGGTTGATCCTGAAAAACAGATATGAACAGGTGTTCCTTATCTTCCCAAAATGAATGGTTGGTTGGGTAGGGACATTTTGGGATTTGAAACATATAGGGGTAACTCCTGATCTTGATGCCATTTTGGCTCAAGATCAGGGCAGGGATTTGTTTTTCCGGGCCCCGCTATGCCTCGGATCACCCGATCGACTGCGGCGGTTTGGAACCCCGGGTCGAGAAGGTGGCGGAGGGCTCATCGCGGTGTGGACCCGGCGACGATTTCTGCCGAAGATCGAAGGGCTGACCTTGGTGCGCGGTCAGCTTACATCCTGGCTATTTGGGATACAGTGGAGCGCCGCCCGGATTTGGAGGCAGACTTCTGCCGGTGTTGTGGGGTACTTACAGCTTCTTGGTGCGAGGGCTGCTACTTCCGCCTACCGGAGAGCTTCGGAGCGGTGTGCGCGGAGTGTGATCACCTGCACTTGGTCTGTGACCGGTGCAGGTTTGATCACATTTCTTGGGAGCAAGGCCATGCCGCGTTCATCGAACAAGGGGGCCAAGACACCGAGGACCAGATCCAGATCACCGGTTGGGGTGACCGGACCAATCCACCCCATTTCGAAGCTGCCTCCAGCCAGGTCTCCATTGAGGAGGTCGCGCAGATCCTCGGAATCTCAGCCCAGCAGGCCAGAGACCTCCTCAAAGAGCAGCTGTCCGGTACCACCCAAGCAGCCTCCAGTGGATCCTCAGCGACCGGCCCTCCCTAGGCAGCCCATGCCACCACCAGGACCTCCTCCACTGCGGCTGAGGAGGCCACGGTCGCCCTCTGTGTCGCCAGGGCGTGGCCGTACTCCGGTTGTGACTGTGCGCCAGCCGGACCAGGCCATGGAGGCTGATTTGCTGGAGTTGGTGGCCGAGCGCTCGGATGAGTTGGTGCAGCTGTTTTGCCACCTGGGCGTCCAGACCTGCCAGGACGTGGTTGGCATTTGGTCCCATGGCGGCGAGTTGGTGGCAGAGCTTGAGCGCATCCAAGGCCCCCTGGACGCCGAAGAAGCATTCCAGGTTAGCGCCTTGTGGAGCATTGCTGCTCGCCGGGCCTATAATCACAACTGGCGCGTTGCCAGAGCGGTGATCGGGAACCGTGCCTCAGTCGTGGAGACCACGTCCATGGTGGTTGCACCCAAGGGTACAGGCCCTAAGGGACACGTGAGGCAGCTGCTGGAGACTGGGTTCCCAGGGCGGCCACCAATGTTGCTGGCAGCTGCAACTGCTGATCCCCATACCAAAGCTGAGGCCAAAAGGGCTACCAAGATTCAGGCCCTCTTTGATTTGTTATTGAGTGAGTTCCTCAACCTGGCCGAGTTGGGGGTGACCTGGGAAGAGTTGGGCGACCCCGTCCGTTTGCAGCAGTTCAAGGACCAGATTACGCAGTCCACCGGCCGACTCACTGAGGCGAGGATTGGTGCCCTCCTGGCGGCTCTGCGGCGCTGGCAGCGGTATGCCTCTGAGAAGGCTTTCCCCGTTGCTCAGCCAACTCCGCTCCAGTTGGGCGAATTCTTTCGTGCAGTGGCCCAGGGTGGACCCACAGCCGCATCCTCCATGTTTCAGGCATTGAAGTGGTTTCGGGTTACCTTTGGCCTCAACTTCAATACAGACCATTGGCTTACCCAACCCTTCAGGCTGCTCCCACCGGATCATCGGGTACAGCAGAGGACCGAACTACAACCCTGGGAGCTGGTGAACCTGTTATTGATGATGAAGAAAGCGTCCGGCACACATTTGCTGATTTTGACATTTTTTGTCTGGGCAGCTATTTCATGTGTACGCTTTGAACATTTTCAACGGTCGCATTACATGGAGAGCCATCCTCAATGCCTGGTTTTTGAATGCTCCCAAGGCAAAGCCCGACGGCGTGGCGTGCGGCCTCCGTATTCGTGGGCTATGCCAGAATTGGAGTTTCAAGGGCTCAGCATCCATCGTATTGTCCGGGACTTCGTGACCATGGAGTTGAACCCCCAGCTGAACTTCCTGTGGCCGGCCCTCCAGCTTAGCTCAGATGATCTCTGGGAGGTCACTGAAGGCACGGCATGGCTGGTAAACAGGAAGATGTCGCGGGGTCGTTTCCTGGAACTCCTGCGGGGCGCCCTCATCACCATGCAGGTGGACCACGCCCAGGCCCGGGGGGCTGGTTATAACAGGCTGCGCCGGTTCTTGCCAACTATGGGTATGGTATGTGGCTTGCAGCCCTCCAACCAACAGGCCATTGGCAACTGGCAGGAGGTTCCCAGTGCAGGAGGTCCTGAACCTGTTCGCAAGAGCAAAGCAGTATGGTCGATGGGCCTTCACTATGCCGGGCAGAAGGTCTTGCATTCGGCAGCCGTCAAGCGAGCGTTGATTCAGCGGTTTCTCCATCTACTGAGGCGCAAGCTCCCTGAACTGGCCCTCAATGCTGATGGTCTCGTGGCCCGTGACGCCTGGACCTGGCCTGAGCTCGCTCAGATGAACGAAAGTTTTGGGCCCTTGGAGGCGGCGCTGATGACGCCTGAGGTCCAACCTCCTCCAGAGACATCGCCGGTGACGGCGCCTGAGGCCCCACCTCCTGCAGACACACTGCCTGAGGAGGCCTCGGGAAGTGCCTTGCCTGTGGCAGGCCCCAAGGAGGAGATCCCGGCTGAGGAGGCTGACCAGATCACTCCGCCGGAGGAGGCTGCCGATCCGGAGGCCCAGTCCGCATCGTTTTCGACTACTTCATCGTCCGCGTCGGACTGTTCGGCCATGGGTAGTGACTTGGAAGGCGTCCTGGCAGAGGAGGCGGCTATCACAGAAGCCAAATGGTTCGTCCAAAGCCGCCGAGTTCACATCGTCAGTGGAGTGCTGGATGAGCGCCAACTGCCCTACTGCCGGGATTCGCCCTTCGCCCAAGATCCCAAGAGCCAGGGAGAGGGCTTTGGATTGGTTGTCCGAAGCCAATTCTGCCAGCGGTGCCTGGCACGCATGCCACGAGGCCTCTATGCCTCCTTGGCTGACCAGTGCGGATGGTTGCACTGAGTGTATAAAAAGCTGAGGGACCAGAGGTGCCGTGGGGTGCGGGGGCGGGGGGTCGCCGTGCGTCTACATGGGGGTCGAGTTTGATTTTGCTCACCGACCTTTTTCCGACGTCGTGTTCCCGGTCGACCTTTCTGATTGTGGTGCCCCCACCCCTGTTTCCCCCCTTCGGGGTAGGCTTGGAGGGGCACCTTTTGGGTCTGTGACCTGGCTTGGCCTCCTCCGGGGTGCCACCAGAATGGGGTGGGTATCGAGGTGTGTTCGGCCGCTCCGACGGGCAGGGTGGTAGGTCTGGGACCTCCACCTGTGGTGTTCGCTACGTCGCAACCCAGCTCAGGGCTCAGAGGGTCGTAGCTAGGGTACGCACGCGATTCGATTGTGGTACCCCTACGGCCATGAGCGGTTCGAGGCGTATCGATACCTACCAGGATGACAGGGGACTGACGACATGCTTCGCTGGAGCCAACATCCTGGAGGAGTGGAAGAGTGAGTTGGTTCATGCCCACAAGTGGGAAACGTTGGAAGATTTTGTCTACTACTTCAACGAGACCGCCATGGAAACGTCCTTGGATCAAGTCCTCCAGCCGACCAAGATGAAAGACAACCGGTTGTTGCGAGCCAGGCTGAAAGCGGCCCACGCAGCTGGCCTTGAGGCCATTCGTGCAGCCGCTGCGGAGGCAAAGCAGCCGGAAGCTGTGGATGAGACACTCCCAGAATCCACCATGCAACAACTTCACAAGGACTTTGCCGCCAAATACGGTGTGGTGTTGGATGCGTTCTTGGAACCATCCGACGCCCTTCGGTCCCGTATTTACAGGGAATTCCGCAAAAGGACAATGTCAGTCATCAGTGTGGCCAAGGTCCGATCCATCCTCCACCAGTCGGCACCCAAGCAACAGGAATCAGTCCGCCTGGGCGCGGGCGTCCAGCTTGAGTTCGCAGCCGACGATCATCGTATTGTGCGAACCGTGGTGGAGTACTATTTCTCCCTACGTACTTTGGCTTATGCCTGGGCGTGGGGAGGTTTGTACAAGGTATCTGACTTCGATGGCAATGAGAAAGTCTTCATGCCCCTGGCCCCAGCGATGTCTTATGCAGATCAAGCCCTCCAATTCACTATGGAGTTCGGGCAGGGTAGCCTGATTTGGCTGGAGCGCAATGATATCAACACACGCTCCAAGATGGCTTCCCTCATCCGCCGTGGCTACACAGGTGCGTCCGCCTTGGAGGAGGCCTTGCGCCAGACCCATATTGACTGGCGCGCCCCGGGAGTTCAGCCCACCTTGCCTGAGGCAGGTGCCTCCCCGAAGCGCCGCTTGGCGGAGAATGATCAGCCGCAAGAGAAAGGCCCAGCAAAGGAGAGGCGCCTGGTCAAGACGGACAAATGGCCTACTATCTCTATGTTGAAAGGGGGTCAGAAGATTTGCAAGCCCTTCAACGACGGGCGTGGCTGTACCAAGGCGGGCTGCAAGGACCTTCATCAGTGTGATGTCAAGTTGAGCTCCGGGAAAGCCTGCCTGGCCAGTCACACCCGGCTCCAGCATGAATAGGGACAACGCCCCCCGAGGGTCGGGGAACCCCGGGGGGGGCCCAGATGAGGTGGCCTTGCGTGTGCAGCTTCCGGCCAGTTCGACATCTTCTGAGGCCCACCGCCGTGTGATCCTGCGACCTGATGGTCACTCTGGCCATGTGACTATGGCTGACCGCCTGTATGCAGCCAAGCCTGTCACTTGGAGGGGCCAAGGGGATTTGCCGCAGTTTCCCTGGGCAAAGCCCTTCAAGGGTACTTGGCTGGTTGTGGACCTTTGGTCAGGTATTGGCGGGCTTTTGGTCGCTTTGCTGGCTATGGGAGTTCACTTCTATGCAGTGGCTGCTGAGATGGATGATGAGGCCGCCCATTGTACTCAAGTGGTCATGCCCCACGTTGTTCCTGTCACCCGGGTGGAGGACCTACGTGCCGTGGATTTCATCCCTATGCTGGTTCGCCGAGCTTTGCGGGGGGTCCTCCTGGGTGGGGGCTCCCCGTGCCAGGGCAATTCAGCCTTGAACAGGCGCCGCAAGGGACTTGATGACACACGATCTCAACAACCGCTTGAACTTCGGCGGCTTGTATCAGAGTTTGAACAGCTCCCAGCTTGTCAGGGCATGGAGATTGTCGCTTTCCTTGAGAATGTGGCCAGTATGCCCAAGCAGGTCCAACAGGCCTATGAGAACTGGTTGGCGGGGCCCCCCATCCTACTGGACGGAGGTTCCTGTGGATGGGTGTCGCGTCGACGGTTTTTCTGGCTCCGCTCCCGGCGAGGCGTGGTCAGTCCGGCCAACCCACCTCCGGAGTCGTGGCAATGGTGCACAACTACATCTGGAGTTGCGGAACTGCGGTATGCGGGAAAGAAGCCCCTGCCACCGCAAGTGTTTTGGGACGACCATTTCCTACCTCTGCTCTCCCCTCAGGCGGTGTTACAGCAGGCTGGCAAGGGCGCGATGCACACATTCACTCGGGAATTTTACCATCCGGAGGACCGGGTCCCCGAGGTTAGTCCTGCAGCAGCCGAACGTTTCTATGCTGACCAGCGCCGTTTCCCTCCGGGGGCCTATGAAGAGCACTCACTTTTGTGGCACGGGAAGCAATGGCGCCAACCATCTCCTGCTGAGCGCTGCCAGATGATGTGCTTGCCGCCAGCACTGGTAGCTCCTGCTCGGGGAAATCAGGTCAAGCGCACCCAGGCACAGAACTCATTCATTGGTAATGGCTTCCATATTCCTTGTGTGGTGGCGCTCATGGCTATGCTACCTAGTATTTTGGAGGCCAAATTTGTACCTTCGTTCACCTCCGCGGAAGAAGCAGCATTGCGGGATAGGTTGCAATACACGGTCTGGGAACCAGGGCGCCTGGACGCTATGCCCGGTCTGTTGACCGCTACCGAGGTATGCCTCGATCTGCGGATCCAATTCGCGTTTGCGGACATACCAGACAGTACTTGGCACCAGGTCCTTGCTCGGTTGCAGGCCTGTGACCTGGCGAGTCTGCAAGCATATCCTATGTGGAGGCGGCTTCGGCAAGAACCGTGGGAAGTGCTGGGACCGGTCCCCATTTGGGGGCGCATGCGAACAGCTATCTTCGCTGGGCTTACCGGCCAACGCTACCCAAGCTCCTCGGCCAAGGGCTTGGACCATCTCTTGCCCCCGGGGTTGGGCAAGGATGAACATGTGGCACAGGCCAGGCAACTCCCGTCACCTTTCCATCCGTCTGACTGGCCTGAACCTGATGTATCCTTTGTGGTCCAGGCGCTGGGTGTCTGGCAGCAGTTTCTCCCAGTGTACAGCCAAAGGCTGAGGCGTACTTTGAAAGCTGTGGAAAAAGCTGTGCAACTCCTGAACCCGTGTCTTGCGGCCGTAAGGTCTACTAGTTCCAACAAAGTAGCGCATACTAAACAGCCTGCTTTTGTTGCAACCATGGCATGCCTTCTGCGATGGCCGGACCGTGATATGGCCCGCCAACTCGTCCAGGGGTTCGCTATTGTTGGGTCCCTTCCGCCGTCCGGGGTGTTCCGAGGTATTCAACAAGCGGACAAACTCCCTTTGGCTGATTGGCTGGGTCCATCAGCTGAAGAGGAAGTCCAGCGGTTGATCCGTAGTCGACCCCCCCCTGCATGCTCCAGAAATTTTGGCAGTTACTCAGGATGAGATCCTCAAGGGTTTTTGCAGCCCACTGCGAACCATGCAGGAGATGAACGATCTATTTGGTGTGGGTGGCTGGCGCGCTGTGGAACGTTTCCTTATTATTCAACCTGATGGTAAACAAAGGGTCATTGATAATGCCCGAAAGAGTGGCCATAACCGTCATACATCCATGCAAGAAACCATTTCGACCGTTAATGTTGACTTTGTTGCATCCGTAGCGCGCATGGTTAATACCGTTTTGGAGACCCATCGGTCCGACCCTCCTGATTGGCTTGATTTACGGTTGGGCACGGATGACCTGCCCGATGCCTATCGAGGCCTGCCGGTCCAAGATGACCATTTGCGGTTTTCCAATGTGGCCATTTTCGTCCCCGACGAAGGCTGGCGGTTTACCACCATGTATGGACTCGCCTACGGGTTAGAGAGTGCGGTGGTGAGCTTCAACCGGTTCCCTCAGTTGGGTATCGCGATTGCAAGACGCTGTACCCTCTCTTTTTGTGCTGCATACTTTGATGATGAACTTGCGGTTGATTTTGTTCACCATGCGGATGTCTCGCAGCGCGGACTCCAACTTGTGTTCCAACTCATGGGAGCGCCACCGCAAGCATCCAAATCTTTCGCACCTGGACGTAACCGTCATTACCTTGGTACTTCAGTACATGTTGGCGACTTTGTGTCTATGGGAGCGATCAGATTCCAACCCAAGTTCACCACTCAGAGGAAGGTTTTAGCTAAAATTCACTTGGCGCTGGCTACCAACAGTCTGTCGCCGGACGACGCTGGAAAGCTCAGAGGGGACCTCAACTGGATGTTTAGCATGTGTGCCGGTCAGGCAGGGCGGATCGCTGGACCCACACTCACTGCGTTGCAGCATGCTGACTCCCCTACTCCTTCCCCTGAGGAGTCCGTTACCTTTCAGCTCTTAGCAGCGTTGGTGACCTGCCCAGGGCCTCGAGATGTAGCTGTGCGGGCTCTCCCTCCCCAACCAGTCCTTGTGTACTCGGATGCGTCCTTTGAACATGGGGTCCTCCGCGTCGGCTGGGTTGTCTTCGGTCAGTCGTCTCGCCCCCAGGGACTGACATGTGTCGTCCCACAAGAGGTGATTGAGTCCTGGACCGATCGTACACAACAAATTTACCCTGGTGAGACACAGTGTGGGCTCTTGGTACCATGGTTTCATGGAGCAACCTTACACCACCAGGATCTCCTATGGTTCATCGATAATGAAGCAGCTGTTGCTTCCCTCATTCGAGGATCCAGCTCCCAGATCGATGTCCATACGCTCGTCCAGGTCGCGCATTTCTTGTTCCAAAGATTTCAAATTCGTGTTTGGATCGAATGGATTGACTCTGAGAGCAACCCTTCTGATGGTCTATCACGAGATGGGGTTAGTGATTCTTGGACGAGGTCACAACCCTGGGATGTGTCAGAGGTTAGCTACCCGGATCCCCTCCGGTCCGTGTGTCACCCTGCACACCTTTCACGTTTTTTAGAGTACATGGACAGTGGGTGATTGATACAGTGGGTGGTATGTTAAGTTCATCTAAGATGACTTTCCAAGCTGGTCCGT